AACAATATTGCTGAATTAATACCAATTCTAGGAGCTGCAGTCTATGAACCAAGTGAGCGGCGATTGTTCATTGATTCCTCCAAGAGATGTCTAAAAGATGTTCTCCTTCACAAATCACAATGACAACATATATGCATTTCTTTCTATCGCTCATTTGGTTCTCTTGAAGGAAAAGTACGAAAATCTCGAACTTCTTCATAATAAGTTCAAGTATAAAGAACATGGTTGGTTACTTTGTGGAGACTTAAAAGTCCTTTGTATGCTGTTGGGTCAACAATCCGGTTATACAAAGTTTCCATGTTTTTGTATGAATGGGACAGCAGAGCACGAAATCGGCACTGGATAAAGAAGAAATGTCCACACAGAGTCAGTTTGATACCAGGATATTTCTTCCATTTCACATAAAACTGGGCTTGGTGAAGCAGTTTGTAAAGGTCTTAGACAAATATGGCGACAGTTTCAAGTTTCTATGTGGGCAGTTCCCAGCTCTTTCAAATGCGAGACATAAAGAAGGGATTTTTGTTGGGCCTCATATTAGGAAATTGACTTAGGATGAACAGTTCGAAAGAACAATGAGGAAAATTGAAAAAGAAGGGTAAGATTGCCTTTAAAGTAGTTATTGATAAATTTCTAAGAAACAGCAAGGACCCAAATTACGAAATTATTGTCAATAACATGCTCGATAAATTCAAAGAGTTGGGTCGTAATATGAGCTTGAAAGTTCGTTTTTTTGCACTCACATATTGACTATTTCCCTGAAAATCTCGGAGCCATCAGCGAATAACAAGGGGAAAGGTCATTAAGACATCATGCAGAGAAATGGAGAGGAGATGTCAGGGAAGGTGTGATATCAGCATGATGGCTGATTACTGCTGGTCATTGAAACGAGATGCTCCAGACGCAATACATAAAAGAATAACCACAAGATGCAGTTTTGAGACTAAAAAGCGTAGATTTCACAAAAAAGTTAGGATGAATGAAGATGCATATTCGTTTGACATTAATATGCCTCCCTTTTCTTCATTTTGTTTGTATTTTTGTTAACAAACATAATAAAAAATGCTCATGCAACGAAATAATAAATTAATATAAATAAGATTTTTTCTTTCCGATGTGTAAAAAATCCTTACGTGATAGAAAATTATGGAAAATCCGTTATTAAAACCAAAACAGCATTTATGAAGTTTAAATTCACAAACCTGTATAATATTTGAGACGAGTTTATTCGTAGTTGGTTTTAAGTGGTAATAAATGTATTAAACAGAAAGTGAACAGTTTGGTTGATAATCAAACTCGATTAATTTCGACTTTCATTCCATTTAACTTATTTTAAGTTAATTTTTTACTGAAAAAAAATAAAGAAAATTAACCATTCTACCCTCTACGATAGCATATGACTGAGTGTAACACTACGCCGTTGTGGAAGATGCATGTCGATAATTATATAATATAACCAGACAGAATCTCGAAGTTCCTATTATATCTCTGTATTATAAAATTCCACATAAGTAACGTTTTTTAAGAATGTGACAAACTTATTGAATTTCACTCTATAGCATCTGGATTTTATATGTAAAATATTAAGTGACTAAATCAATGTGTTAATTTTAAAGCTAGATTTAATTTTGCACATGTAACTTTAGAGATGAAGTATTTCAAACCATATTTCATTATTAAGAACTGTGACAAATGAGCACTAAGTGAGGGTAGAATATTTTTCTTTTTGTAACAATATGTGAATTTGCATATATCCTTTTAGATCTTTTGTGTTTTAGCAAAATAAATAGTTTGATCAGCTCTGTAGTATGGATCCAGGATTTGGGTTCTTTTTTAGACTTCCATCACAGCTAGAACATTCAGGAGGGAATGTCAATGGAATTATGGGGCCTGGAAGAGATACCTTAATTAATAATTTAAGTTCTTCGGTGAACTTGAATTTTGAGAAATCCAAAATATCAGTGAGTAGTTCAGAAGAAAGTCCTAATAGCAGTTTATCAAATGGTGTAATTCCTGTGTCCATCTCTTCTCCAGAATCATTAGCTCCAACTAAAAAACAGAGTGAAAACATTGCAATACTCCATCCTTGCCATTTATGTGGGAAGTCTTTTGCAGAGAAGGATGTTCATTTTCACATGCCGTGTCATTACACTGAAATTCTGAGCTGCAACATGTGTAGTGAGAAGTTTACTCTGAAAAAGACACTTCTTGACCACTGTCGAAGTTTACATGCTATAACAGATCCGATCATCTGTGAGTTATGTGGAAAGTGTTTCTCTTCCATAGACAGTTTTCAGAATCACCAGGCAATTCACAATGGTGATAAGCCCTACCCATGTGAAGTTTGTTTCCAGTCATTTCCTGAGAAGAGCCTTTTGATGCACCATTTACGCACCCACTACAGTGAAAAGCCCTATCGGTGTCATTACTGTGGCAAAGGTTTCACATTGAAGGGTAATCTGAAGATTCATGTCCAGGGTCATGAAGGAGTAAAACCATTTGTCTGTGAAATATGTGGTAAAAAATTTACTCAAAAATTAGGCCTGGATTACCACATGAACTCACACACAGGGAAGAGACCATACCCCTGTGAAATCTGTGGCAAAACTTTCAGCCAGCGAGGCAACATGAAAACCCACATGTTAATTCACACTGGAGAGCGTAGATTTCCTTGTCCTGAGTGTGGTCGACTGTTTACACAGAAAGGCAACATGAAAACACATCAAAAACTACACCTGCGGCATCCATCATTACAGAAGCCATATCAATGTCTTGTCTGTAAAAGATCTTATGTAACTCAAGCAAGCTTGCAATGTCATATGGTATGTCACCAGAAAGTATCTTTTCAACATAGAAATGTTCCAGCAACCAGTACTTCCATGAGACGTGAATAAGAATTTTTCCCATATTTATTCACAAGGCATTTGTGTTTATATGTACCTCAAGTGTATAAAGTGAGTCCTTGTTATTTCAGAACTTTCTAGCATGAACTAATATAAACATTAAAAGCATAAATTAGTTCATAATCCCTTTAATAGATACAGAATGGTTTTAATGAAGTGTGACTCACCAAGATACCACTATAATCTGTACATTGTTTATTGGACTTATAACTTTGTTTTCAAAGAAATGAAAGTGTTGACTGAAGTTTTTGTTTTACTAGTCCATGTAAAGAACAGAAAATTGAATTTTTTTCTTATCAGCTTATTAATATCTGTTGAGGTACATGAGATCTTTTAAAATCAGTGAAAGTATTTTCTATGATAGAATCTTGGTTTTTTCAGGATTTTAAATATTTTATAAAATTGAGGGACAAAGAATTTTGTAACATTATATTAAATTCTACCCTTGATATATGGTATGCTCAAAATTATTATTTATAAGAATGGGACTATGATTCAAAAAATGAAACTACTGGTTCGAAACATTTTTTAAAGTGATTAATCATTGAGATCACTCTAAAGGTGAATACAATAGAAAATGTGTTTAAAGTATTTTTAATAGAAATACTTAAAACACTAGTGACTGTGATGTGTTTTTTAATGTAATTTACAGGTGGTACTGATATCACTTTTTAAGGCTTTTGTTGAATAGGATTCACCAGGGACTTGGTCTGCAATACGAATAAACATGATTAGTCTATGAAAACATATAACCGTTTAAACTGTACTTTGTGATTTCACTGCCTTGAAAAAGGTTTGAATATAGTTCACTTCAGATTTCCTCCTCTAAGGGATGCATTTGAATACTAATTTTTTTCTCAAGTCTGAAATCTATTTGGATGTGACATCATTTAGAACTTAATATTGTTTAAGATTAAAAAATTAAATAAGATCTGTAAAAAGTACAATCACCTTGGAAGGTGTTTTACTATACCAGATCAGGAGTGACTACAGGAAATTTTGAAGAATGAAAACATGAAACATACATTTTTGCATAATATATTAAAAGCACTAAAGACTGAGAATTGCATTCCTGAAGCTATTCTTTATGTGAAGGTGGAAAAAATATATAGGTTGTTCAGGAGTGGGAATGTGAACTGGTCTTAGTAGTGTGGTTGATATTTTTGTGTTTCTAAACATGGTACATGTAATAGCCACAAGTTTTTGCATTTTTAAGTATTTTATACCTTAGAAAAGTAGCTGACATAACAAATTTTTTGTAAAATCTTGAAAACTAATTTTCAAGATAACTTTTCACTACTGCATATGATATATTTATATAGCTATCTGCTGTACACAGTTCTGATTAATTTAAGAGTTTGTAAAAATATGAATTGAGGAAAGACTATCGGTTAAAATAGTTTCTCAGTACTTTGCACGACAAAACATGTCCTATGACAAAAGTAACTAAAGGATTGGCTGTATTTTAAAATTTCAAACCTATTCACATTAAAGTATGACTTGACATTTTATTTTCTGCTGGCTTGTAATGTTAATATAAATCTTAAATCATTGTCTAAAAGTTAAAAGAGTTATTATTAAACAGCAGGTGGAAAACTAATAGATTATTGGCTTTCTTTAACTGTGAAACTAATTACATCATTAAATTGTGTAATCTGTTTTATTTTATATATCAAGTTCATGACAAGAATCTGCCAAGTGAGAAGTACTGTGTGGTTATTATAGCATGAAGGAGTGTATGGCATGCATTAATTTTAACAGAATCTTTAAGTCTTTCAGAATATGTAATGTTTACATTCACGTATACTTGGAAAACTCATGCCTAGGGATGCTGATGCAAGTGAGAGACAATCCCTTCCATTGAACATTTGTTTTAAATAATGTACATTGTATATTGTAGTTTTTATTGTATGTGGAAATTAAATAATCGTGAGTTAATGAATAATGTTATTTCATTAATTATCTAAGATATGGTTCCCAAGCTTTTACTACCACCAATATACCAGTTTCAATAATCCAAGTAGCTCGTTTACACAACATTCTTTATTTGTTGACATTTCCACTGTATCTTGTTTACTAAACTGTAAAGTGTAGTTTTTTTGTGTGTTTTTTAGAAATGAGCATAATTTGTGAGCTTTCTTATTGTTAAGACTAATGTTTCTATGTAGCAAAATATACATTAAAGATGTTTTAGTTCTTTTGTTTTAGCCTTTCTTGAATCTGATCGATTGCCGAATCATTGCATAGTTTAGTTTTATTAATTTGTATATAATTATATTAATGTCAATACCTGAGAAAGATTCAAGAATAAGTTCAATATTTTTGTCACTATCTCAACCTTCTGTTATTTGTGTGCTATAGTTATTTCATGAAGCAGTTCTGAACATATAGATACAGCCCTGGCTATCAATCATCTCATAAAAGCTGTCTTGTTGAATCCTGTTTTCAGTATCTTTACATTCATACTTAGCTGTGATTGACAGTATGTTGTGTGTTGTTTGTATTGTTACTTCATAGCTGTTTCAATCATATTTATCATATGTTCCTAATTGTGTTACTGCTGCCTTTAATGCTGAAATTAAGCATAATGCAAGATACATTTTATTTTAGAACTGACTAGGTAGAAATTGATTGTCTCATGTTTTTTTAATAAGTTTTAATATGTCTGTAGGCTTTCAAGTTTATTATGACATGCACATAATGTTTATTGATAAAAATAAAAATTCATATCAGACATCTGGGCTTTTACTGTTTCATAGAGATAGCTTATGTTTTGAAATCCCTTAGCAATATGGGGGTTTGTATTGAGACCTTAAAGTTTATACCAAGAAGCTAGAAATTGGAAATATCAGTTACATTCTAAGGTCAACAATCCTAAGTGAATCCTAGATTTCTCTAGTTGGTATGACCTCCAGGAATCCATGTCAGTATTTAAGTAAAATAATCAAGAAGAACACTGTCAGTAATCTTAAAGTAGAAAAATGTTTACAGTGTGTACTGCACAGAAAGGTTAAAGTGAATAGTATGTAAAGTTAATGATCATATTTTGTGTCCATTATAGAATTGTGAAGTATTCTTCCTCAAGATTGTATTTATACATATATGTGCATCTTATTACAGCACATTAGTTGACAATGTAAAGTCAAAAAAAGGTAAGTTTTGTAATTTATATAGTTCACTAGAAAAAAAAGCTGTTGGAAGAGTTCCATTTGAAGGTGCCTTTGAATGAAATCCTAGTATTACAATTGGTTAAACCCCAAAATATGCTTCAATGTGATCAGAATCTATAAATAATGTCAAAAATAGTGGACTCCCTTCAACTTTAAAACAACCCAGGATTAAATGTATACATGTACTATGAATGCAGCATAAAATAACGTAATTTTACACACATAAACAATACACTGAAAAAATCCTGAAATTTTTCACATGGGTTTTTCAAATTAACAGCAATATAAAAGTGTTGTGGAAAGTATGTCTTCATATGAGACTTATTGACTGGTATTTTTTGTTGTTGATTTCTAAATGTAATGCAGCGCTCTTGGTGATTATTTTTGGATATGTTAACACGTCATTAATCTCAATTTAACCTGTGTACAAAACTTTACTGTTAAACTTGAAGTGTTATGCAAGAGAAAATTAGAGTATTTGTAATTCATAACTGGGTTAGTAAGGGATTTCATGGTTTTGTTGGGATTAAATAAACTAGTGTGTAAGGATAACTTCTCACTCTGTGACAAGTTTATTTGTGCCAAAGTGCTTGTTCCTGTAAATTGACAATATGTTTCAATGGGTTTTACCTGTAAGGTGTGTGTGATGTTTTTCTGCCAAAGATGGTGATATAAGCCTGTCTCATCCAAGTTTCTGATCTTTGAAATTATGATGGTTTCACACATCAGGTCCAACCATGATGTGAGAAAAAGTGCCTTTGATTTGGAGGGTTTATGTGAATAGAATAAGATTAACTTTTTTTTTTTCTGAAGGTTTTAGAACAGCTTTGTTCTGTTCATCAGACAATCAAACAAGAGTGAATAAGGTGCTGATAAGAAAATGTAATAGAATTTTGTGTAGGCTTTGAAGTCGTGATACTGGCAGCTAGATACTCAACTTTTATGTTGTATTAAAAACAATGAATAATTATTACTATGTGCATAATCATTTAAAAGGTACACTAATTTGAAAAGCTGAATCAAAATTGAAATTTATCCTCAGATGTTTTACTATTTGATATATCAAGATTCACAAAAGATAATTGAGGTGAAAGACCATATTGTTAATTTTTCCTGCTTTTTAATAGTATGTCTTTCAGGATTAATTTGTATCACTTTTCTGTAGCAATTAATACTGTAACTATGTTTAAATCTAGTTGCTAGGTATTTTTCTGTACTTTGTGTCCAACTTAATAGAAATGTAGTGTGAAATCTCACTGTTAAGACAAAGTGGATGTAAAATATTCAGAAATAACATAATTTTCATAAATAGGTTATCAAAAGTATCCTGTTGGAGATATGGAAAATTTGATGTTGAAATGAATTTGTACTCAGTGTGAATATTTTTTTTTCATCCAATCGTATGTAAATACTAGTATTATTGTTTTGGTAATTTTTATTCGTTTCAATTTTTTTTTCAGAAGAGCTACTTTTGTTCATTGATCATAAATGTTGAAATTTGATGGATATTTATAATATAGTTTTACCTATATTATATTTACCATGTACTGCTCTATATCATGCAGGATAGCTAGTCTTTCAGTAACTTCATAGTAAAAAATATTTGAAATTTAATCTGGTTGTTTACCTACTATAAAAATGACCAAGAAATTAAAAAAAAATATTAATTACATTGTTTTTGCCATGTAGAAAAAAAATCAGTGGTGGAAAAATGTAAAAGTTGCAAAGTGACCGGGCTTTTTCTTACTTACCAGGATTCCAAGTATCACCTGAAAAATTAATATTCATTCATAAGATATTCAGTGAATGAAAACATTTGTTGTATATCTTAATTGCCATATGCTTATCCATCTGATTCTAAACAATATCCTTCTTATGAAGTTGAGAAGGAAAAAGAATGACATTACATTCACAAATTACAAAGCCACCTGTACAGCCTGAAAATCAGCTAGTTAATTACATGGCCTAATATTAGATATGTGTGTGATGAAAGTTAAAATGGAAATTTACCAAGTTTCCTCAAGTAATATTTAAAATACTCAAATATCCCTTTTATTTTTAATGAGATGAGTCAATGTTTTTGGGGAAGAAGGGATATTTACTTTGTGAAAACCAAAGACAAAGAAAATTATTTTAAAATGTTTTGTGTTTATAATTTCACAGTGTTAACCTACTTATTAAAACTTATAATTGTAACATAAACATAAAAAATTAAGATGAATAAGAACGTAATAGTAATCTTCACTAATAAATAAATAAGTTAAGATTATGTTATCATTATAAAAATCTTTGTTTTTTAACTTGTGGAGAAAATGGTGTTGAATTAAACTAAGCCATAAGTTCACTCAAAATAATATCAAATTATATGTTTTATGTGCTCTTGTTTAATATTTCTTTTTTTGAAGAGGTGGGTGCAATTCCACAGAAAGAGATTGAACAATTAAGAGGTGGTTCATTGCCCCAAATTCTCCAGCACCTGAAGCTTGTTTCAGTAATGATTACCAACCTCAAAAGGGCACACAAATTACAATGGAGTATGTCATAGCCTTTCTGATAATGCCTCAGATAAATGACACTTTGATCAACCTTACACCTACTCCTTTAAACAAATTGGAAATGTTCAAAATTAATTTTTGCTTATGTTATAGTTAAAGCTTTAGAAAGTTCATTGGGTATTTTAAGATAAAATGAAAGGTACATTAAATAACCTGTAAAACTTAGGTATATACACTAAAGTAACCCATTACTTAGCAGATTGAAGTTATATATAACACTAAGCTTCTCATTAAAACATATATTTGAGTGATATGTTTTACTGTGAAATAATTAACATTTTGTAGTTCATTTTTGGAGATGATTTTTAGGATTAATGGCTAATTATTGAAGCTATATTGAACCACTAAGTCTGTTTGTTACTTACTATTTCATGTGAGGCTTACTTTATTGTCCATGGGAACTTTATTGAAAATTCAAGTAAAACTCCTCCATTAGTTGTTCTAGCTATTTTTCAGTATCCGTTTATATATATATATATATATTATTTACCTTGCAAAAGAAGTAACATATGCATTCACAAACTAAGTCTCTCTTCCTTAACTAACTGGTTTTCACCTGTTTTAGGAATGTCAGTTTTTTTGTGAAATATTACAGTCTAACATATATTACAATTGGTGCATAGAAAACTGTAGGTAATGTAGGTTTATTCAAGTAGATGAAGTCAAGTACTCTTTAGTTTAAGGCTTGTGTATGGTCCATTCATGTATGTTAAAGGTTTTGTTCTTTTACTTTAACAGCAAATAAGCACGTTAGTTCAGAAGATCACTCTGTTAGATACTTCAGGGTGTCATTCCTTTCAATGTATGTTTAATAAGACCTGCATTTTCAATGTTGTAATGTTTTTGTTCTGATAGTATTCCATGTTATGCATGCTAGCATGATCGTAACTGTACAATTATAGTACTTTCTCTTGAAAAGTGTAAAAAATATAGCCATTTTAATTATTGGGTAACTTGTAGTCATTTGTAGAGAAGTTTAAAACAAATTAAAATCATTTCATTACATGTTAAAATAATTTATTTCCACACATTATTTGTCATGTTTTAGTATTTTTAAATAAAAAACTTCATTTTAAATTTTTATAAGGTATTGTTTTTAAAATCTTATATAAATTACTTTTGCAAAATACTTTTAATAAATTTTGCTTTGCAAGATAAACTGTGATTTGTAATGTTTTTACATTTTCAGCTTATATATGTTATTGTTTTGTGTTGATCCTGCACTCTAGACATAACTATACAATTTTTTGTACATTTAGTTAAAACTGTCTTGATTGCTTTTGTGAGTTTTGGATCTTGAAATTAAACTAAGTAAACCAAAATATACGTGGTGGTTTATTTATCAATAATTTCTTCCATATTGTATTAGAATAATAATGTAGTTTGTTTGTTAAACATAATTGCCAAGAAGTCTTTTAGTTTGATACGTTTTTCTTCATTGAAGCCGTAAGTCTTATATTTTAATTAAAACCAGAATTGAT